GGAGCAGCATCCAATTTTTAGTGCTTGCCAATGTGACCTCTCTGAACTATTAGAAGGAAATAACTCTGTCATATTACACATTCTTATCATTATATGGGAGAAGGCATCATTGAGCAACACATCACTGGGCAGTTTCCTCGTGTGTATTTGTACAGCCTAACAGATGGGATAGCCTATGGGACAGCAGGCCTACATGGTATTTAACATGTTGCCTCTCTGAACACTACAGGTATTTGCAATGTGGTGGCCATTTGTCTATCCAAACGGGTTTGCTCGTGGGCATCACTACAAGCACAGGGAAAATGACAACCACAGTGTCGCCAGGAGACAAGAAGTTTTCAGCTCTGCTGTAATCTCTGATGTGTTTGCTGTCTGTCATCGAGAGAAACGTTACTATGGGTGCATGATTGCAAATAGTAAATGGCCTATGAATGCTCAGGGCCATTGATAATATTAACATGAAATACTAGAAAATGATGCACTTTGCCCACTCATTGCCTGTTTTCAATATATATTTACTTGTGGTTTAGTTTTTTTTTTAAATTGGCTGTTTAATAAGCAGCTCATAAAACCTTTAAGCCTTTAATTAATAGCAATTAATTTTGTGAACTAAAACAGTTACTACCCCCACTACCTGCTCCCTGCCCTGGTTCTTAGCCTTCCGAAAAACAGCTCTCACAAGGCTCTCTGTAGGGGAAGGTGTGTAGTGTGCAAGCTCATGTTTCCCAAGGTCCCTGGTGGCCATAAAACCCAAAGTTAGGGCTGCTCTCTGCAGACACAGATAGATGTCCACCCACGGATAGCAGGGGACCAGTCAGAGACAGCAGTGTTGGGGACACCGGGTGAGGTAGACAGGGAATACTAGGTGGTAGTCCCTGGCCTCCCAGCCCAAGTCTGGCATCCCATTCCTATTGCAGATTCCCTGAACAGCCATGTCCTCATACATAAAGAAGGGTCACTCCACAAAAGCTGCCCATTCTGAGGCTTTGGTGGGGATAAAACAGAAAGGCCTGGGTGGGCAGGAAAGTCCCTCATATGTGACAAGGCCAGCCCATGGAGACAAATTTGATGTTTTGTTTAGAGACCAAGTGATCACAGACAACTTACTTGGCTTTTGTGTACCCCAGATTTCCCATCTGTCATGTGGACTGGGGTGTGTGAGTCTCCCCAGCATTGCTGGGACTGTGGACCTATACAACATGTCTGGTTCCTCAACAAACATCAGCATTATTCATGCTTCATTAAAAAAAAAAAAAAAAAAGGTTAAGTCTTTTCCTGAGGGTTTTACACAGATTTCTCAGAACTACGGTGGGTTGGGAGGTTTGTCAGGGAGCCTTCCAGAATCCACCTGCACATAAGGGCCAGGCAGTGCTGATAGCCAGAAAGTAGGCAGAGAGCACAAGGACTGATGGACTCCTACGGCTCCCACACTGATACATTGTAACATTTTCTAGTGGGAGTAACAGGCTTAGAGAGGAGATATTTCCAACCAAATGAAATTTGTGTCCCCCACAAAAGCCGACATTTCTATTTTTACCTTCTCAGGAGAAACACGCACACCTCCTGAGTCTCCAACCATTTCCAAGAGTCACACTCCCCTGTAGAAGCTAACTTTTGTTGTGGGTTTGTCTCGTCTTGTTTTCCAAGAAAGGGTTTCCCTGTGTGGCCCTGGCTGGCCTGGAATTCATTCTGTAGACCAGGCTGGCCCCAAGCTCACAGAGATCTTCAGAATGTTGGAGTAAAAGGTATGCACCACCCCTGCCCAGCTGTTGTGGGGTTTTTATTGTTGTTGATTTGGTTTTGAGACAGAGTCTCACTGTGTAGCTTCCAGTGGCCTAGAATCATGTAGACCAGACTGGCCTTGAACTCACGGATCTCTCCTTGCCTCTGAGTGCTGGGACTAAAGGCAAGTCCCACCACACTCAGCCAAAATGGGAGCTAATGCTGATCTGAAGGCGTCCCTGGGGTAGGTTGGAAGGTGACAGGCCTGGATAGGCAACTGAGGGAATGTCATTTGCCTCATGTTTCAGCAAGTTTTACTCTTGACACACCCTTCTGTGGTCTCCTCTCACCTTTGGGAAGTCACCAGTTCTTCATGTGGCTTCTGAGTGCATTTCAGGTCTTCATGACCTGACCTTCTGGTTAACTAAACAGCCCTTGGGAGCAACAGGTCTGGCTCCAAATCCCGGCTCTGCTATTTATCGGCTGTGTGACATTGGACAGGTTAGATCCTTCCTGAGTGTTTCCTGCTTCTGACCACTGACAGCAGGAACAATTACAATCTTGAAAATTGCTATACCCCGAAGAGTTGTTTTAAGGTTAAGAAAATGTATCTGTGAAGATGCTTAAACAAGACTTGCCTCGTGTCAACAGCCAATAAATAACAGAGGCACACCAGCAGTTTTAGTACAAATGGGAGTTCAAGGCAGGCTCCCTGGCAGAAGCAACTCCATGGCTGCCAGGGGCTGAAAGGTATATGAAAGGCAACAATAGACACTTGTTGGTCCTATGGGTTACCAAGTGCTAGATTATTACATGCCACGTGCTGAAAAGGCACAAAAAGTCTCAAGGCCTGACCAGGAGCCACGTAGCATGTGGTGTGGAAAGCAGCGAGCTGGTTAAGCCTGGGTCTCTGCATCTGGGAAGTGGTAAGAGATGAAGTCAGAAGGTAAGTAAATAATAAAATGTTGGCATTGAATCTGTCTGTGCCTCCATTCTGAAGACCCAGCATATAACAGGTGCTCATTAAAGACTCTGCAGTTCGATGGATGTGTACACACATATATGTATGTGACTTAAAGCAGGTTCATTTAGAGTACAGAATAGTCTTAAAACCCGTGTAGTCAGGGATGATCTTGAGTTCCTGATCATCCTCGTTAGGTCTCTACCGGGGACAAGTGGCTAAGGTCCCTATTCAGCTCTTCCCTATATAATCCACCCATTTTGGCTACACCAGTCCATTTACCCTTTTGGTCTCCCAGCTCTCCCCTCCCTCCTCTCCTCACATGGCCTGGCTCAGTCTGGCTATGCTAACCCTTTTGTCTACAATAAAGCTTCTCCTTCACCACACCCAGGAACAACTATGTTCTTTTTTCTTCTAAAAATTCACTTCTGATTTCACCTCCCAAATGCTGAGATTGCTGATTAGGCCACTACACTTGGTTGAGGCTCAGACACTTGTTCCCAGACTGAAGCCTGAAACCCAAACATCTTCCAACCCACAGACAAGAGCTCAGCCAAGCTAGAGTCAAACCCTGGGTGTTTCTGCTCAATGTCTAAAACCAGGAAACTGAAAAACAGACTAAACCAGGAAACTGGGGTTGTCTTAGGCTTCTGGGCAAATATAATTGCTACCTGAACTTGCTCACTTGAGGCAATGGAGACAATCTTATTACCTCAGAAAAATACACTCCCATGACCAAGTGTTCCAGGAGCCTGGAAATGGAGTAAGAGTACATGAATAGCCCCTGGCAAGTGGCCCAGAAGAGTTGAGACATTTTCTTGTGGGGCCAGACATTATCTTTAGGAAGACAGGAATTATGGACACCTCTGGTTCTTTCCTGTGGGTTTTTGGTAGTTTTGTTTTAAAACAGGGTCTTTCTTGCTAGTTTATGTTGGCTTGGGACACATTACACATTCCCAGATGGCCTCAAAAACTCATGAACGTCTTGCCTTTCCTTGTTTGTAGGCACACACCGCTGTGCTCAGGTTTGGGAACTGGTTTTCCATACTGATATGGATTCATCAGGACTGCCTGGAGCTCGGCAGCTTAGCAGTAAGGAGACAGCAGCTACCTCAATGGACTTTCCTAGAAGCCAGGACATGGTCCTTTGACCCAGGACCCAGGATCAATGACAGGGACAAAGGCCATGCCTACCTAACTTAAACTCTCCAATGTAACAGAGCCACTACAGGCTTAGGACAGTACTTGCAGCCAGCCACTCCCCAGGGAGCTTGGCCCATGGTGAGCACATGTAGGAAGCAGGAACACCTTCTGTGGGCAGCTATGCTGGGTATCATCGTGCTTTGCCACTTGTAATTGCCTTAGAAGCCGCAGAGGGCAAGAGCATCCTTCCTCAGCAAACACAGCAAGGTTGTCTTTCTTCGGGGTTCTGCAGTTCAGCATTTAAGACCGCAGGTGACTCCTGCAGTCTCTGAGCCTGAGCCATTCACATTTTACTTGTGTGCTGACTACTCTCCACAGGTGCCTTTGGCCACCTTACCTTTAAGACCTAGAGAACAGGGTGCTTGGTTCCTGCTTACACCACACTTCCTTAACTTCTGACGTATGCTGGGCATAAAACAGGCAATGTAGTGCATATTGTGAACATCAAATTTTAAGGCAGAGTGTGGTGGCTCACTCCTGTAATCCTAGCATTTGGAGGCTGAAACAGGAGGATGACCATGAGCTAGGGCATGTATTAAGTTTCTGGAAAGTCTGGGCTAGAGTGAAATCCTATCTCAAAAGTATCTAAAATCGGAGCTAGAGATGGTTCAGTGGTTTAGAGCACTTGTCCTCGCAGAGGACCTGGGTTCAATCTTCAGCACCCACATGGTGGCTCATGACTATCTGTAACTCCAGCTCCGGACAACGCCCTCTTCTGGCCGCCATGAGCACTGCATGCCTATGTTACACAATCATATGCAGGCAAACAACCACACAAATAAAATAACCTAAAAAATAAAAAATTTAAAAGCTCCAAAACCAGTCCAGCTTTGGGGAATATGGAAAAAACAAACAAACAAACTTGTCTCTGCTTTCTGGGGTCATTTTTCAACATATTTATGGAACATCAGACAGCATTTGATAATAGAAATGGAATTTGAGGGAAATTCCTCAGGATCAAGTGCTGACTCAGCAGCAGCCTCTTGCTGGCCCAGGACCCTGTCCTTAACTGCTTTGTGACATCACTTGGTCTCGGTAGGGAGAAGGCGAAGGTGCCTGAGGTTTGCGACCTGAAGGAAAGAAGGAAGGGGACAAGGAACGGCAGGACACTGCGTAGAACACTTGAGACTGATTTTATTGGGGTTTCTCACAGTGGTTGGAGCCACTCTGTCTTCCGGACAATCACAGCACAGGATATCGTCACCCAGACTGCCCAGGGCGGTCTGAGCAGCTGAATCTTATTGCTTAAAATACACATATTCACAATAACTGACAGACGGTGGTGGGCCTCACACAGGAATGTGTTAGTGGCTGCAAATCTGACCGTAGCACCAAGCCCTCTGCCTAACCCCTCCTACCTGGAAACCCAACTCAAGTCAAGTCTCCCTGGCCCCTACGTCACTATTTCCTGTGCTCTCTCTCTGAGCATCAGGGTGGCCTAAAGCAGCAGGGGCCAGATTGTGGCTCGGTCATCACGGTGGGTGTCTCAGTAAAGCTAGTCAGCACTCAGGCCAGCTCCTCACTCTGCCAGGGGAAGGAAAACCGAGAGGGTCCCACCTCACCATCAGTTAACTAAAGAGGGGTTCGGTATAGTAAAACTTAACTCTCCTCTGAGACACTTCACTGAGGTGTCTGGGATTTTAACAAGAAAGTAGCTGGAAAGGTGAAGGAGAATTGCAGCTCGGGGCCCCTCTGACTACGCACCAGCCCTCTCTGGACCTTGGTGGATGAGGTGTATATGTGGCACCGAGGTCTCTGCCAGAGACTCCTGGTGATCCTGGGCAGGCCGATGTCTGGGTCACAACCAGTCCATGTTTGTAACTCAAAACTCAATCGAGCTTCTGTCTGAAAGCAGCAGAGGGAGGGGGGCTGGTTCCGAATGTTTCCACGTACAGGGAACAGAATGGAGGCCTGTGAGCGTCCGCAGAACAATGTGCAAATTGCAGTGAGCTGAGTAAGAAGAAGCCTCTCCCTAGAGGGCAGTGTCGCTGGCAAACACAGGCGATGCCGTCGACAAGTCTGCTGAGTACACCCGAGTACAGTCAGACGGTTGTTCGGTAAACAGTAAATGTGTAAAATAAATTACCTTGAGAGGGCCTATGTGCTCCAGGCATGTGGCGGATGTGAGCAGAATGGGCCATTCAAAGTGTCTTCACAGGAACACAGGGTTCGGGGCCACATACCACACATACCACAGCACGCACACCACAGTACACCACACGCACACACGCGCACACGCACACACACACCATCCAATATCACTGTGTAGACTTCACTTTTGTTCAACAAGGATTTTGGTTTGTGGCATCCAAATGTAGACCTGTGTTCACCTGACAGCGTGAGTCTGTGTGACGTATGGACTTGGTGTCCCTTCCTTTTTTTCCTTTCTCACCGTAATGGCAGTGCCAAGTCTACGCATCATCGTTCAAGAGCAGGGGAGGAACCGAACTCTGCATGGGCAGGGCTGGGTGGGGAATGCTCCTCTCCGCGGCTCCTCTGCTCCTTTTTTCTTGACTTCAGGCTGTGTCTCCAGAGCCAGACGACAGGAACCAGGCCCTGAGGTCTGCTGGAGGCAGGCGGCTGTCACCTCCTTCCCAGGTGACTCTACACAGGCAGTACAGGAAAGTGAGTCACACTTCTCCAACAGGCTAGAGGCAGAGCAGCCACGAGAACCACAGGTAACCAAGGTGTTCCTTCTAAGTGGTCAGTTTAAGACAAACAAGTACACAAACAACAGGCTTAGTCAAACGCAACAGGAAATACTGTGTGAGAGCTAGGCTGTGAGGCTGCCTTGCCCTGAACACACGACTTCCTCAGTCCCTCTGCTTACAGAGGACAGGGAGACAGAGACTGCAGACTGTGTTCAGGACTGGCGAGAGCCACTGATCACCTGTGGGATGGACAAGGGGCAGAAGTGAAGGAGGCTATTATCTCTACCAGCCTTCAGACTCAGGTCTCCACTCACAGAAGGCCCACGGCTACTGCTGCCAGGCCTGTTCAAACTCCTCCTGGCCCAACAGTAGTCAGATTCTTGGGAACTCAGCCTGGGGGAGAACAGCAGAATCCCCTTGTCCAGAAGAAAGTTCCTGCCTGCCCACTGATCTGGTTCTTGTTTCCAGCTAGCCTCTGTTACTTGTTTTCAAAGAAAAACACAGAGAGCTCGATATAATCTACACCAGGCTGACGCTGGCCAAAGCCTGCCGGGAAGGATCCCTCTACAATGCAGATGTGCACTTTCCACCTGGGCCTTGTCAGATCAACAAGTCCCTCGCCACCCTGTCCACTAGCTCTCTCCCTCCCCCAGAATTAGACCAGTGCCAGCTCTGCAGTCACTGGCAGCCATAGGTGACACTCCCCAGGCCCCTGAGGGTTTCCTTCTTCACTTGGGGCCAAGAGAAACTGTCTCCCAGACTGAGACACAGTTCCCTTGTAAATCCACCCCGCCACTGAGAACCATCTCAGGCACAGTCCAGCCCCAGTCCTAGGGGGCTTTCCAAACACATTTCTCAGCCAAGCAGGCAGATGAGACATAGCTCTGAACAGGGGGTGCGGAATGAGTCACAGAACCAGCTTCTCCGTCTTCTAGAACACTGTGCTTTTGTGGGGCAGCAGGCATCCACACCCTGAATTTGTACCTGGAGATGTGGGCAAGGTGGGACAGGAGGGGAAAAAAATAAAGAGGACAAAGTGGCTGGACCACGTGTACAAGTCACTTAATGCTTCTCTCGTGGGTGTCCCCACCCTGGTTGTCGTCGAGCTCTTAGGTGCAGGCAGGGCCTGCTCTAGCTGGGGGAGCTGCTGCACTGCGAGTTTGGGGAGTCCTGTTCATTGATGGTGTTCAGCAGCAGGCACGCGGGCGGCCGTGGCAGGTGGGGGTGGCCGTGCTCCCGAGCCTGTCCCTCAGAGGACAGGCAGAGCCCTTCCTCTTCGTCGGCAGGAGGCCGCACATGACAACTGTCACAGAAGTCCAAGGGCCCATCCAGAGCATCATCTATGAGTGTATTAAACTCTTTGAGGTCGTCATCATGGTGGCCCCGGTTGCACACACACACCTCAATGCCCGAGTCACCTGTGAAGCGGCGATGCCTGCCGGGTGTCTTGTCTTTGCTGTCGGAGGGTACACTGCCATGCTCAGAACTTGAATCTTTCAGAAGCTCCTCCTTACACTCTGAATCCCTGTCCAGGAAGGCCCCTGGGTCTAGCTCCCCATGGCCGGCCACGGAGCTACTGGACTCCATTCCAGGGGCTTTGGTGGCTTCCCGGTCAGTGGGCACTTCAGGGGACTGAGGATCTGCGACACTTGGGGGTCTTGTGCTGCTTCTGCTCGGTCCAGACAAAGGACTGCTCTGTGCTCCCTGGGAGCCCTGGGGTGGGTCAGTGCCTGGGGGACTGTCACCTGCAGGGCCACCCTGAGGAGGCAGCAGCTGCTGCTGTTGTAACTGGAAGGCACTGTACGGTGGAGGAGGAGTTGGAGGTCGGTTCACCACTTCCTCATAAGGAGGTAGTAAATAGTTTGGCAAAAACCCTAAAACAGGGAGGAAGGGAGAAGATGTTACTGCACTGGCCAGCACTCGAACAAAGCTCACACTAAACATGACACTGTCCCCTCCCACCCCAGAGCCATCAAACTGCGGTGGCTGTGGCTCTTAGCTGTGGTCAGGCAAGGGGACTGCAACCGCCTAGAGCAGTGGTTGTCATCCTTCCTTACGCTGTGAGCCCCCTTAATACAGTTCCTCATGTGGTGGTGAGCGTGAAATGACTTTTGTGGCTACTTCACAACTATGACTGTGTTGTGAACCGTAGTGTGAATACGAGGTATGTGGCTGCTTCTGGGTAGCCCACAGGTTGAGAATCACCAGCCTAGAGGAAGAACAGTCTGCATGTGACCTGATGATGCTCCCCGGTGTCTGGGACGAACCTGGCTCCCTGGTGCTGCTGCCTGAGCAATGACCTCCTCCCTACCTGAGGTCGAGGGACAAGGGGAGGCAGACGGGGTGAACTGGCTGGGGGACGGTTTCTTGCTGGAACGGACCCGTTTCCAAGGACACACAAGGCCCACATTTCTTTCTTTTACAAAGATTTTATTTTTTAAGTGTGTGTGTGTGTGTGTGTGTGTGTGTGTGTGTGTGTGCGCGCGCGCGCGCGCATAGTGGTAAAGGAAGGGAGGGAGAAGGGAAAGAATTGTAGACTAAGTGCAGTACCTAAGAAATTCAGAAGGGGGCTGATGCCCTGAACGTGGCTGTGGTCTGTCTAAAACTAAACTTGGAGCATCAGTAAGATCCACACTGTCTCTCTTCTCCGCTGAGCTCTCTCCAGGGCTGGCCACACATGTCCTCACTCAAGGACGCTAACATAAGCCTTCTACAACCTTCTCTCCCTACTCAGAGATAGCTCATGTTCCAGGGTTTTCCCTGAAGGTCAGAACCCTGTGTTGCCTCTCTCACTACACTGTGGTTGAAGATCATCTGGGAAGTCCAAACAGGCTTCATCTTGACTCTTCTCAGGAGAGGGGGGCACCAGTCAAGGAGGAGTAAGGGGCCTGTGACATCAGGCTCATTAAACACATGCCAGGTGAGATCTCTCCTGAATGCGCTCAATACCTTGAGGCAGATCACCTCGGTTAGAGCTGCAGCAGCAGCTGCTAACGTTTATTGAGCATTTGCTATATACATAAGGCACCAGGCTAAGCAGCTAACCCTTCCAGCTACGGAGGTGCAAACCTTGTGACATTACATCTTGTGCAATGTGACGGATGGCTTAAGACAAGATGCCTGGTTGGGCATCCCTGGATCTTGTGAGAGGATAGTGGAGGGAATTCCAGTATCTGGATTTCAGTTTAGTCACTAAGTTTCTTGGTTTTCAGAAAGTTCCCACACCACCCTTATCATCTGTCCCCTTCATGATGACTCTACAAGGCACAGAACACAGCAGCAAGCTAAACAGGAGGAATTCAGGTTGTCGAGTGCTAGATCCACCCAGTGCCAGACCCCAAGCCACTAACATTATGCTTCCATTGACTATGAGACTTTAAAAAAAAAAATCTAGTTCAAGGCCATCCGCAGGCTCCACAGAGAATGTGAGGCAAATCTGGGCTACATGAGACCCTGTATGTATGTATGTATGTATGTATGTACAAAATGTATATATGCATATATGTATGTGCCTGTTAAAGAGGTAGAGACCTGGCAGCTGTGAGCGTGGGAATGGCCCTGATGGCTTGAGGACTACAACTGTTGATGCCTGATCCACTGTGTGAGGCCCCTACTTTAGGGATGCAGGTTGGGCAATGGGGGGCAACCCTCAGCAGGGGTCCTAGCCACTGCTAAACTCTTTGGGTCTAGGCTGTGTGTCTAAGCTCCTGAGGTGGCCTGAGGTGACTGGTGGGGTACGCACTGAAGTAAAATGGCAACGCTGAGTAATTGTGGGCTTCCCGGTAAGCGATCAGGTTGATTTCATGTTGCCGCTGCTGGGCCTGAAGGCGGTGCTTGGCTCGGCGGTGGTGGCAGACGCAGCAGCAGCTCAGAATGATGATGATGGTCCATACCAGCCAGAACCCTGGGGGATAAAGAGGCAAGACAGAGAGGCACACATGGTGAGGACCGTGAGATGGGGCGGCTCTCAAACAAGGTGTAGACAGTACCCTCGACGCTGCTGCCAACAGCCAGGCCTCACCTCGTCGCTTTATGTCAAGCCATTTGTTCAAAAACGTTTCTACTACAGGGGAAGATGCTTGGGACAGAAAGAAGGGAGTGGCCAGGTGAGGAGGGCCAAGCTGTCACTTCAGCACACTGCTGGCTCTGTCATTTCAACGTGGAGGGCATCAATAAGACATTTTGAACAAAATACCTCAGATTTTCTTGGTACCTATCTTTCCCCTTGCTACTCCCAACCTAGAAGAACAGCAATTGCAGGGGACTTCAGAGAGGCCCCTCATATAAGAATTCTTAGGGTTCTCCTGATGAGGAGAAAGAGGAGGGCTTTTCCCCATGCTTGCCCTTCTGTAAAGTGCAGTCCTCAAACAGAGGGATGGAAAAGTTTTAATTGCCTCAGGCCCCACTCTTCCCTAGAGAGTGTAAATGACCTCCTGCGCTCTCCATAATCCGGTACAATTCCATCTCCCACTGCCTGGACAGTCCATCCCCATATCCCTTGAGCCTTGGCAGCCTCCCCCACTCTTTCTCCACCCAGAGAGTGCACTCTTGTTTCCCAGTTTCTCAGTGAAACCGCACATTAGAACACCTTCTCAATTTTGAAATGCAGATAGAAAAGGCTTTGAAACACTTTAAAAAGGAAACTCATGCTCCAGACTTGCGTAAATACACTCGGACATACACGGGAGAAACACTGAGAGGAGGAACACAGAATAAGGACTTTTTAAGAATGTCCATCTGTGCATGCGTGTTAGCTGGCGTGTACATCTGTGCTGGTGTCCTGGTGCTCAGAGGGTGTTGGCTCTCCCAGAGCTGCGGTTACACATGCAGGACTGTGAGAATCCATCCATGTAGGTGTTAGGAAAGGAACAGAACCCAGGTTTTCCACAGGAGCAACAAGTGCCCTTCACCCCCAAACCAGCTCTCTAAAATAAGGACATTTTAAAAATTTCTCATAGCATTATGAGAAATTTAAGGGTTTTTTTCCCAACTGTTTTATTCTTTTAAATTATGAAACTGAAAAAAAAAATTCAATTTTAGAATTACCCGTGACTAGTTTTACTTTTACTGGCCTTTTCTTTTTTCTTTTCTTTCCTTTTCCTTTCCTTTCTTCTTTCCTTTGGTTTCCGTATCTAGCCCTGGCTGTCCTAGAACTCACTCTGTACATCAGGGCTGGCCTCGAATTCAGAGATCCACCTGCCTTTGCCTCCTGAGTGCTAGGATTAAAGGCGTGCGCCATTACTTCCAAGCTAGTTTTTTTTTTTTCTCCAAATGATAAATTTAAAATAGTTGTGTGTGTGTGTGTGTGTGTATGTGTGCACACCTGCTCAGCATGGGCGAGGTGGCTTCTAGAGCCCCAGCACCACAAACCTAGAAAATAAATCAAGTAATAAAATACAGGCTGTACAGGCGATGCTCTGAGGGTGGCATCTGGAAGGCACTCTGGCTGAAGCCCAGTCAGTTTTCTAATCCTAGTTTGTTCTCCAGAGTGTGTACATACCTCTTTATAGTGGAAAGGACTTTTTTCCTCAAAAATTCATCTGATAAATAATCCTAAGGCAAGCTGCTGTTGACCGAGAAGAGATATTTTTGTTCTCTGTTTATTGTCGTTGTTTTTGTTTTGAGACAGGGTCTCATGTAGCCCAAGTTGGCCAAACCCAAACGTCTGTCCCAGATACTTGGATTACAGTTGTATTTTACATATTATATTAATTTGTATACTATATAAACATGGACATATAGACAGGTGTAGATTCTGCATGTGTGTCTGTGTACACTTGTGTGCATTCGAGTGTGCATGGCTTGTGGGGGTTGGAGAACAACTTTGGAGTGTCAGTTCTAGACCTCCAGCCTTAGAGCCTTGCCCCTTTACCTACTGAGTCACTTCACTGACCTACAAGGTGGCACCGGATCCCCTAGAGCTGGAGTTACAGCCGTGACCTCAACTCCAGTACTGCAAGAGCAGCCAGTGTGGTTAGCGCTGAGCAATCTCTCTAGGCCATCACTCTGCCCGTGGGGATTGAACCTGGTACCTCATAATTGCTAAGTGACTTACTACCCCTGCACTCTTTGCTCCCTGTCCTCACCCCCACCTCACAGCTCAAAAGTAAAGTATATTTGTTCTCTCTCTCCAGAAAATCAGCATTAATGTCATTTTTTAAAACCATTTCCCCGGTATTTCCTCATTCTCTCCATTTTCTGTGCTGTAACATATGTGATCCAAGACATTATTCTCATTCTCAGCTTTTGCTTTAAACTTAACTGTTAAGTAAAGAAAATCTCACCAGGTGCAGGGACGCACGCCTGCAGGAGAGAGGTAAGATCTCCAGCTCAGAGTCAACCTGGGCTATCTAGGGAAACCCTGCCAGAACAGACAGGAGAAATGCCACGCGCTGCTTTTCACCAAAACTTCCTGATTCTCTTGCTTTGGGTGAGTGGGTAGGCCTGGCCTCTCTGTGCTTGGGAGAGGTTGACTAAGTCTAACTATTGATAAAATGTATAAGCAGTGTGTCATTTAGAGACAAGAATTCGTCTTGTGAAAAACCTTCCGTCTCCTCCCACTGGTACTCCAGACAGTCATTTCTGGCTCTGTGCTATGGGACATGCTCAGGGGGGACAAAGCTCCCATTCCACCTTCAATGGACACACGGCAAGAGTGAGAAAGAAAGTTGGTTTCAGCTACTAGGATTTTGGACATGTTTGTTCTTGCAGCAAAACCTAGACCAACCTGACTGCCACAGTGTGCTACGGGCTTTCCCATGGGAGATCTAAGATTTATCAGGAATTGTTCTCACTTTTGTTTATTCTGTGTCCACACACAGTACATGTATAAAATCAGAGGACATCTTAGTGAAACTAATTTTCTCCTGCCACTAGGACAGTCCAGGATCAGCAGGTGTCACCTGAACCATCATCTCCTAGCCCTCAGGAGCGAGCAAGCGGAAAGAGATTCTTATGTAAACCAAGATGAGCTCCACCTTACTGAGGTACCGTAGGAAAGGCTTTCTGGTTTTCAAAAACCACAAAATGGAGACATGTGAAAGAGCAGCAGGCAGCAGAATCCGGGGCCTTGTGCATGCTGGGACACATGCTCTACACGTAAGACATACCGTGCCCTGGCCCACATTTTCCCACTTGGTATTAGGAGAAGGAAAACCATCTCTACCGTACACAAGCTGTGTGATGTCACACTTGTCTCAAACTCAGTAAGCACCTTTCAGTTTCAAACATCAGACCACAGGAGAGTTATCTGTGTGGATCTACACAAGGGAAAACACAAGGTCTTGTAGCACATTGGGTGTCAATCTGGGGATGGAAAAATGGACTGCAAGCTGGTCCCATCTGGAAGGAAGGCAGGCAGAGGACAGCCTGATATGGCCTACACAGACTGGACTGTCCTGGGAGTCACGGTAGAAAAGGCTGTACACTGTCTGTAAGCAGGGATGGGGTATTAGATTGGTCCCAATGGGTTGAACCAAATTTTAATATCTTAGCTAGATTTCAGAAATACAGAGGTAGGTTTTATTGTTTTTGTTTTTGAGACAGGTGTTGCTGTACAATTGTAGCTGGCCTCAAACTTGGGGTAATTCTCTACCCTATATTCCCCAAATACACACCAACCTAGATGACCCCATTCCCACTTCCCGCCCAAGGGATGACCTTGCTGTGTGGAACATTTGTCATGCTAAGCTAAATGGAAAACATGTTTTTAAAAACAAACACAGTCCCATGTAGGAACTGAGTCATGTGCCCTAGAGTTCACGACAGACTTGGGAAAACACCACTCCTCAGCTGGCAGGAAATTCCCTACCAGGGAGCAGACTCATACTGTAGAGAATTAGCTCCCCTTCTCACATGAGAGGGTGACTCCCTTGGCCCTGACAGCTTGCATCAGGAACTCCTGCTCTGGCGCTGCTTAAGATCTTTTGGAAAATGAGTATTTCCACAGGGTTGCAGTGTCGTCTGAACTACAAGGCAACCGACTGTCCTGGAGGGTGATCCCAGCTACACAGCTTCACACTCCAGACAGCCTGTGATCTTCCGAATTCGGATTCTATTCCCCTTGTGTGTAAAGCGGGAGAGCAATGGTCTCACCCGGGTTAACACACCCGTGGAACACTCCCCAAGTGCCTGTGGACAGTGCTGCCTCTGCTCTATTGTCGTAGCTGTTGCTCTCACAGGCGTAAGCACAGATGGGACGGATTTCCCTGAGACCTCCTCTGACCCTTCCTCTAGAACTATTCCACAAAAACCATGCGTTAGGATCAAAGTCTGCCTTTAGGTTCTACTCTTGGCAAAATTCTGTGGAAAAACCAGGCAACTCCTCTTTATTGAGCCCCTGCCACGAACAAGATGTTGCGTCCACCCATATGAGCTGCCAGCTGGGCATCCTGCCCCCGCCCAGGGGCTTGGACCACGAGGGATCTGAGCTTCAGCACGGGCTTGGAAGGAGGCTTCCTGGCAGGCAGGGCGCCCAAGAGCTAAATGACTTAATATCAACTCACAGAGCGTCCCGTACGTATGGACAGTTTCTCATACATTAATTAAAATAACTACGAGAGTAAGTCTCAGCGGGCTGGCATTAGGTGGATTGGCTATGCCTCTTTCACATCATCTGGGGAAGTCCCACAGGTGGCCTTTCCTCTTAGCTGAAACTCAAAACAGGGAAACCTGACACTTGAGTAAAATTCCTCCAGATTATCTCAGGGACAGAAAATCCAACTTTGACTTCTCCCTGGGAAATGCAGTCTGGAGAATGGAAAGAGCCTCAGACAAGAACTGGGAACCCCAGCTTCAGGCTTTTAGGCTTTGAGGGTACTCCTGGATTTCTGGGGTCTCCTTGCTCCATCTGTTTCAGGGAAATTAGACATGCACAGAACCCTTTGAGACTCTAAGATCTGTCCCCTCCTCCTTCCAGCTTAGCCTCAGAGCTCCCGAACACGGAGGTGACATCTTAGCTACAAACAACAGAGTGATTTTTTAAGGCCTGGATGACAGCAATAGCTGACAGGTACAGAAGACTCTACTTAGCCAGCCACAAATGCATCCTGTATCCCAGCTCTCTCAGGGTACCCTGCAGTCTCGGGACAACTCCTGTTTGGACATAAGTCCTATCTGGGCATAAGTCCTATCTATCTACCCTGAACATGTGTATACCCTATGCTTCCGTGCCTGCTAGCTCACACTTCATCTCCTCTCTGCTTGACCACTGCCCAATGCAAGAACTATCCCCTTATGCGGCTTCTGAAACACAAGAGGCCATGGCATCAACTAAGAGCTTGCTGGAACTGCAAACTCTCAGGTCCAGCTCAGATCTGAAGGGTGTAGGATCTGGAAATCTGTGTTTAAATATGCCTCTGCTAAGGAATTGAGGTCTAAGACCCGAGGGGTTGGGTTTGCTGAATGACTGACAGAACAGTGACCCCAAGCACAGATTCAGGTTTCTGTGATCTCAGCCACTGTACTGGTAAATCAGGAGCGTTTGTCCCGCCCCACACGGGCCCAGAGACTGGTTCAGGTTACAGCACACTGAAAACTTGCAGAAGAGAACTCAAGGTCGGCCTGTGCCTGTGGGTCTGTACCCTGTGCATAGGTCAGTCCTTAGGACACAGGTAAATTTAGTTTAGTACAGGTAAAAGGGCTGGTGGGAACGGCATTTCCCCCAGGGCCTTTCTTGTGAAATGAAGAGACACCTGGTCTGACCTGCCAATGATTCCTGGCTTGGTTCTCTCTCCCATAGAAAGGGGAGCAGGAGATGGGAAACTATTCAAAGCTGGTTACTTTTGCATTTCTGGCAAAACTGAAAGGCAGTTAGAGGGAACAGGGCTTAAAAACCACAAGAAGTGTATTTTTCTTCTCTTGGGAGGGAGAGGTAGCAGAATTTAAGAGCTCATGGCTAGCCTGGGCTACACTGCAATCTCCAGACCAACTATATACAGAGAACACGTCTTAAAAAAAACAAACGAAAAAAGAAAAGAAAAGAAAAGAAAAATCAGCAAGTGCAGTTTTGCTAAGAACCTTGGAGCTCATTCCAACCCTCAAGGCCCCTCCAGCACACTTCTTAGAGAGGGATGCCCTGAGAGGGACGAAATAAGATGCGCTGGGCATCTCCTGCCCAAGAAGCCACTGCTGGACATAGATCCCCAAATGCCTCAGTCTGGGGTCTCCTTCCCCCAGGACCTGGGAAGCCTTGAGCATTGTAAGCAGGAGTTTGTGCTCTCTGCTGGGTCTCCTCCCTTCCCCAGCTGACTGAAGCAGAAGACCCTCTTCCCAGACAATCTCCCTGCCATCTGCTCCCCAAGTCCTTGCCACTGGCCCACCTCTTGGCCCTGGCTTTGGTGACCCAATTCTGGTGGCTACTGACTGAGTCTGTCTGCTCTCCCCCCACGACCAAGGAGGCTCTGTCAATCTGAGATGGGACCGCCAGCAAGTCCATGTCTTTCCATAAGTGATGCTGGCTGGGCCCAGCCCCAGAAAAACAAACTGGAGCTCAGTGGCTTTTTGGCAGCCTGACTTTGCCTTTTGTTTTGACAAGGGGTGGGAGGGAGAATTTGAACCCTGTGGTTATCTGCATTTTAAAACATTTAAACACACAAGTCCACCTGCTGGGCACTCAGTGTTCCCTAATCGGTTCTCAGCCCCACCCCGTCTGAACTAGCAACTCTGTGCCCTCGCCACTGCTTCTGTAAGTGGAGGACTGGTGGGGGTCTCAGAGCCTGTCCTGTCCTCCACTGAATTCCTGTAGCTCAGTGGCCTCAGTCTTGGAGGGTGAGGGTGAAGAAGAGGTCCTGTCTGAAGGACCCACCTATGCTGGCTTTAAAAGATCATTGCATTTCACAGGGAGAGAGAATTCCCAGCCAGGAGTTCAATTTCCTTGCCAGATTAAATACTGGTCCTAGCAGTTTTCCTACCATATCATTGACTGGGGAAGGGGGTGTGGGGAGAGAGGGGGAGGGGGACTAGGCGACTGGGCAAGTAAGAGCATGGTTTGACAAGCTAGTCCAACACCTGATTTTATATAAAGGCAGGGCAGGGGGTCAGATTCGTGTGGGGAAATAGCCCACAGTTGCTGCTTTTGACAGACAGCTGTGGGGAGCACTGCAGAGTCAGTCACCTGGGACTGCTCTGCCCTCAGGATGGCCATCCTCCCACTCTGTCTGGGGCTCAGCACTGTCTCATCGGAGTCCTAAGATCAAGGCACACAAAGTGTGTTAGGCGGAAGCACTGCCTAAGGACCCTGACCTCCAAAGAGGCACAGACTACATCCCCAATCCTCAGCCCACCGTGCCCAGAGGGGGCCCAAGCCCTCCTGCTCTAAAAAGGAATCGCTTCCGGAACCCAGTTCTACTCACCAACACTGTCCCCAAGAGAATCAGAAAAAGCTGGCCAGCCCGAGGTTTCCCAAGGAGCAGAGGCAGTAACCGAGACCCTGGGATGCCAAGAACCCCCTGGACAAGGACTTACACCAGAGTTCATAGTAGTAGTTGCAGCACTGTGACTGTCCACAGCAGTGTCCTGTGTCACAGATGTAGCTTTGATTGTTGGTTCCCACACAGGCTTCCTTATCCTACAAAATCAAGATGCAACGGAGCGAGTTACACCACAGCTTGTACCCACTGCCTGTCCTCACCCACCTCCACCCGGTCACTGCCTGTCTGTCCCCCACCCACCCACACCTGGTCATCTGTCTTGTCTGTTCCCCAAACAGCACCAGCATTTATCCTGAGAGATGACCGATCACAGCAGAATTTAGAAAAACAAAGTTGTTTTGTTTGTTTCTTTTTAAGGGAAGGGTCGTAACACACAACGGCACACAGTAAAAAGTGAGGCTCTCCTCAGACCGGACAGGGAAGGGGTGCTGTGCTCTGTCCACGCCATAGGAGAAGTATTTTATGTGCAGTGTCAAACTCAGTTGCTAGGAAGGTGATGGTTCTCCTGTGGCTAACAGCAGATGAAGTCACTTTTCTGTGAGATTGTCTAGAATGCTGGATGCAAACAGGACTCTAGAATTACCATCCAGTCAGTCATTCCAGTCTCCCTTCCAAACTCCCTCCCAGATTGTTAACAGTAAGAGTCAAAAGATGGTTTGAAAGCAAAACTCAGACTGAGAACCCAGCTCAGGTGGCGGAATGCTGGCGTAGCTCGTGAAACCGTGTGTCAATCCCTTCGCTGCAGAGCCCATGCGGGATGGCACACAGCTATCATCCCAGCGCTCCTAGGGTGGAGGCAGGAGGACCGGTCAAAATCACCCTGGGCTACAGGAGACTCTGTCACAAACAAAACCCAGAATAAACAAATAAACAAACCAACCAACCACAAAACCTTCTCCTCAGAGTCTCCCCTCTTCAGAAAAGGATGGTAAACCTATTCAGTTGTCCTAGTCCAATTTCAATTTTCTAGATCACCTTTACTTATTATTCTTGAGAGTCTTGACTTGATCCAGGATTCACATTGTCCCTCATCAGGGCACCTACATAAAGGGCACTGCTGAGTAACCGCGTAGCACTCTGCCAAATTCTATTCATAGCATTGGTAGATGAGAGGGGTGTGTGTGTGTGTGTGTGAACATTTTAAAAATATATTTCACGCATAAGACATGGAATACCAATCAGGCATGGTGGCTACATAGGTAAGCCTAAAACTCAGGAGGATGAGGCAGGAGGACTGCTTTGAGCTTAAGACCAGTCCAGGCTACACGGTGTGTGTAGCCATCCTAGGATACAGGGTAAGGATACGTCTCAAAGAGGAGGTGGGGACTGGAGACAGCTCAGTTGGTAGAGTGCCTGCTGTGTAACCATTAGGTCCTAAGTTGGGATCCCTAGAACCCACAGGAAAAGCTGGGTATCGTGGGGGTCGTGTGTAATTGAAGCAACACAGTAGGGAGCGGAGGGTGAGGGAGGGTCATAGCAAAACACCCAGGACCTGAGACAGGAGGACGCCTAGGGCCTGCTGGCTAGAGTGTCTAGCTGATGTGGTCAGTTCCAGGTTCCAAGGAAGTACAGTGCAACTGAGAGACTTGACAGCCTCCACATGCACACGTGCGCACACACTCACTAGCGTGCGCACACAAATTCATCGGCCATATCTGCTTTCGACATTTCATTTACTACAGTGAGTCTGTGCCAAGCGCCATCTCGGGTAAACGGGACACAAAGACAGAGAAAACACTGTTTCCCAGTGAAACAAACCTCACGGTTAGGAAAACCCCACTCAAGCAAAGAAACTCAACCTGAAGGATGGCATTTGCAACTACTGCCCCTGCCCACAGATGACATCCCAGCAGATGGCTGCCAGGGGAAACCTAAGTCATATGGTGGGCTGCAGCTTCACCACACCAATCAGCCACAACCATAAACCAAGTGCTCTGGTGAGTGTCTCCGTTTGGAGGCCAGGCAGTTCCAGAAGGTACCTGTAGCTACAGAGAGAAGGCAGGAGACAGGGCAGAGCTCATACCAAATCCCTCCTCAGGGTAAGTCTCTACCTTCAGGGCCTTCATGGCCCTTCAGAGTCTTACATTCAGGCCAGCAGGGTGAGTCAGTGGGGAAAAATACTCATCACACAAACTCAACAACCTGAGTTTGAGCCCCAAAGCGATGATGGAAGGAGAATACCAGCTCCCCAGTGTCACAGGACACCTTTACTTTTGTATGTATGGTGTGGTGTGAGCATAACTGCATGAACGCACACAGTAATAAAACATAAAATCGATTTAAAAAAAACAAACTCTTAGACCTCAGGATAAACCAGTATAAGAGGAAACACAGGCAAGGGCAGGAAACTTGTAATGAGTCTCACAATAGAGCAGAGTTCTCTATTCTTGCTCTCCCGAGCCCACTAAAAACAAAAAGCTACCTAGTAGGTGGCTGGCTGGCTGGAGGCCCCTTCAGAGACATGGACGTGCAGAGAAAGCAGAGCCGTGCCTGCTACGTTCTCCAGAACAAGCCACTCTGGCTTCAGAGAAAACCACTCCTTTCCTCGGGACGTCAAAGTCTCCAAGCTCACCGTTCTCTTGGCACTGGTTTGCAAAAGTAAGTTCAAAGTGTTCACGTAGCTTTAAAACACACCATGCTTCCTGTAGCCCAGCAAATGAATCCAGTGATCCTTCTGCCTTGGGAAATCCACCAGAGGTGGCCTAGGCAGCCAACTGGTCCTACGTGAGGCACGCAGCGAACACACTAGAAATCTAAACAAGTGGCATCCTCGTGACCTATGGGTGTCGGCTTTGCTCCTGGCAAGAGGCCTGTTATAAACAGAACTCCTCCTCCTTGTTCATCTGCCTCTAGGCTAGGCAGAGCTGTCCTGGCAGCTCTTAACACAGTTCCTCAAACCTGCTTTGACCGGACTGTCCAGTTGCCCACCCTTCCCCTCTTTGCCTCCCGATATGCAGGACCCTGCCGTCTGTCCTGGTCTTGATGTTGGGGACTGCCACTCTGTAGCACGGGACAGGGAGGCAGGCAGTGTCGAAGCCAGGCGGGGAGTGGGCTTAGAGTGTTAGCAGAAACGATGCGAAGGAGGACCAAGGGATGAGACGTGGGCTCCTCTCGCTAGACCCACCATGGGAAAGAAACCTGGCAGGCTCAGCGTCCATCTCAGCTCTGCCACTTCAGAGGAACAAGACTTTGGGCAAGTGACAAGGATGACCCTAGGGCTAGTTAACACAATCTGTAACATCTTCAACCTGTGGGGGTTTTGGTTGGTTGGTTGGTTGGTTTTGGTGCTCAAGGCTTGTGCATGCTAAAGTGCAGGCTCTGTCTACGGTTTGCATCAAAACCACGGCTTCATCCCAGCTCCGACACAGCATCCTCAAGCCAATGTAAGAGCTCATACAACCCATGACCCCTCTCTCTCAAGCCAACAGCTGAGGTGAGGAATAGAAGGAGCTCAAGGCCTTTAGGGCTTTCTGCAACATTTACTGACAGCCCTGAGCTGCAGTGGGAAACACAATGGACAACTGAACATAGTCCTCACACTGCATGCAGTCTGAGAGAAGGCAACAGACCGACCACACAGGCACAAACCCATACACACTCTCGGAGGGAAGGCTAAACCAAGACGGCCAAAGGGGCTTCTGGGAGGAAGTTCACTTGGGAGGAAGAGGATGACTAGAAAGTCTGTAACTGTAGGGAAGGCACAGGAAGAATGTTCCAGTACAAAAATGCTGTCAGTCAACTTCCTTGGCTAAGAGACAGTTGGAGAAGCAGAGGTTAGGTGGGCCAAGCCCTGACCATACAGGGCGAAGACAGACCAGGGTGGTGACATTTTTAAAGTTACCTTTGACCTCCTCAGGCACTGCAGGCATGTGGTGCACAGACATACACTCAGAAAAAACCCACACACATAAAATAAAAATAAAATCTAAAACAAAACAAAAGAATATGCAGTTACCCTGTCCTGGAAAAGCATTTAAGTCTATATAGAAAAGAAAGAAAGAGTAAGAGACACAGAACATTTCAAAAAGGAACTGTAAAACCTAAGTGTTCTGGGGCTGTGGTTAAGACAGAAGTTCCATTCCCAGCATTCATACGGTGGCTCACAACCATCTGTACCTCCAGTGCCAGGGGATCCAACACCCTCTTCTGGTCTTAACTTGAACTGCACACACATGGCGCACAGGCAGGCATGTAAGAGAACACTTACACACATTTTTTAAAACTGCTGTTAATCCAAGGCCTTCACCTTAAGAATGGCTGTGGTGGCTATTGGATCTGTCACAGGGCCACCATACAGCCCTGGCACCACACCTGGTGACAAGTTCCATGAGACACCAAACAAAACAGTGGCATAGAGAAGAAACAGTCAAGGTCGGCACGGGACGGTGAGACCGCTCTTACGGTGGCAAAAGGCTGAGGAATGGCACATTTTTTTTTTGCGCAGATGCAAACAATTATCTGTTTCTTTGGTGGCAGCAACGGCTCTGGAGCTGACCAGGCCCTCTTTAACGGTTTCCACATCTTGTACTTGCTATTCTTAGCTGAGACACTGTAAAGGTCAATTTAATCAACACGAAAACTTTCTCAGTGCCAGCATAGAAAGAGATGCTGGGCAGGAATGGCTCTTCAGACATGGTTTTAATTTGTTGATTTATGGGGCTGGGAAACCCTGGGAGCAGCTGGCTGGAGCCAATGTCATCCTCACATCCCAAGGCAGGCACTCAAGTTTTAAAGGTTAAGAGTGAAAAACAGGAAAACCAAATCCTTCCCTGATGCTCAAGTATAGAGGACACCAGCTCTCTTGGTTGTTTGATGTGAACAGCATGGGAGCACCCATTCCGCCTCTCTCTGCAGAGAGAACAAATTTCTAGTGGAAATATTTGCTGCCTCACCATCCGCACTGAGCTACGCCCTGAATGCCCCTTACACCGATCATATGCCAGGCAACATGTGGGATGCTACAGCCACGAACAGACAATCAGCAAAGGAAGCTAGTTTCCACTGCTCTGCGTAAGGACGGGCACAAGCTGCACTATGAAATGCTGGCTACATAACAATATTTAGTTAGATAGCTGAGCTTACAAGGAAGCTTCCCCAGGAAACAAAAATTATAGAGAGGAACTAGAAACCACACTCA